CAATTTCCTTCTATTTTTAGCGATGACGCGCTAACTCGATGTTGAAGAAAACCATTGGGTCTTGCTTTTTATGATTGTGAAAATAAAATGTGGCATCGAACAGGAGAATTACATGGCCGATATCTTCGACTGTTTTTACGTAGCGGATAGCGAAGAATACAAAAAAATAAATCTAAACATATTTTACAACCTCTGAATGCTTCGCATCATCATCCACCCTGTATTGCTGCTGAACCAGACAAATCCACGAGGCATGAAAGCCATTAACACAAGGCCTCAAAGCCAAAACATATGTCTCGCGCCATTCGAAGGAGAATTATGATTTTTATAACCTTACACTCTCGAGAGGCATCGCGCACATATACACAGACGTTCTAAAATTAAAGTTTGGTTAACGCAATTAGAACCAAATGATACTTAAAAATCGTGTGAACGCAACGTTTTTGAAACACGTGAGTAGAATCATAAGTGAAATATTTGTACAGTAGCTCGCTTCGGAAGAAAAAATTTTTCTCTTTCTTCAGAGATACTGGGAAAACTGGGGAAGAAATTGAACGAATAATTACTCTGAAAATTGAGTAGAATTGCGAATGAAATTTGCACGTGGACGCAACTTTGGTCCTTGACAGGTCAAATAATCAAATTCAATTGCTATATCAGGGAGAACAGATAACGACGACCTGTTTTTCGATCCACTTTACTCTCGGATCGTTTCTATCCATGATTTAGGTTAGGTTTCTATCCATGGTACGAAGTTAAATTGAATTCCTACAATTCGCAAATGTCCTCTGACATATGTACTTAGAGCTCGTTTTACACGCGCATCTACGATAAGTAATTGCTAAACTCACAAACAGCCGGTATTTAATTCAGTAGTGTGTCATAATTGGTTGCAGTCCCTGTAGTAAACAGATAACATTGCAACAATTTGTTTTGTTAACGTTAATGTTAATAACATGGAATTATCAAATGTACACAAAAGAGTTACGTATTTATTTTCCGATTACATACGCCGGCAGTTAAACGATACGCGACTTTTGACGAGACTTTATCATATATACTACCATGAAAGCTTGGCAGTAAATTAGTTACCACTTTTCGCTTAGATCAGTGACTCTTGTTACGTCATAAGATATAAGATAATAAAGGTTTAAAAACATAAGAATTTAAATAGTAGTTTACATACTGATGCTCACGGTTTAAGGTCTGAACATAAATAACACACGTCAGAATGATATATTTGGAGATCAAATTTGAGATTCGCCAATGTACGTTGGAAACAGTGACAAAATTTATGGTTAACCTCTTGCTATGGAATGACGTGCCACGCACGTCGAGAATTTTTTGTCCCAAAATTGCAATATTTTCTCAGTTTTAAATATATTTAAATGTAACCCAAAGTAAAGGCAAAGCAAATAATAAATTTATTACTTCTTAGTAATAATTTCTATCTAGTGACATCAT